AACAAACTCACACGCTTCTTCTCCTTGCTCTCCCCAGCCCTCGTACTCCGCGGGACTTCCAACGCTTCAGCGTCGTCCCGCCAGCCCCCGAGATGGCCCAAGAAGGCTCCAAGACGGCCCAGGAGAGCCCCAAGACGGCCCCAGACGGCCCCACAAAGCTCCGCCAACACTGCCATGCAGCGAAACACCCTCCTTAAAAAAAAAGTTCTTGTAATCCGAAATTACCTTTTTGCTTCTTGACTGGCTATGAAGAGGGCGACTGGGTGGCTGGGGGTCCCACTTGGGCCGGGCGGTGTCCCGGGTGTCAGTAAGAGCGAAAGTCCGTTTCCTGTCCGCCGGTGGCCAGGGGGAGTTGTCCCGGGTGTCCCGGGTGTCCCGGGCGTCCCGGCGCTAACGCATGTCGCTAATTTCATCATTCGTTGTGATTCGGCGCCTGCGGCGGGCTTTCTTTTCCAATCCAGCTTATCATATCCAATCCATCTTGTCCAATCCAATCCATCTTACCTTATCCAACCCATCTTGTCCCATCTTATCTTATCCCACCCAATCCAATCCACCCGACCCAATCCATCAATTCATTTGTTTTTGCGCCTGCGGCGGGCCAATCCAATCCATCTTATCTTATCCAATACATTTCTCCCAATCCAACCCATCTGATCTTATCATACCCATACTATTCCATCAAATCCCATCCACCCAACCCAATACATCGATGCATTTTTTGCGGCGCCTGCGGCGGGCTCTCTTTTCCAACCCAGCTTATCTTATCCAATCCATCTTGTCCAATCCAATACATATTATCTGCTCCAACGCATCTTATCCCATCTGACTTTATCCCGCACAATCCAATCCGCCCACCCCAATCCATCAATTAATGTGTTTCTGCGCCTGCGGCGGGCCAGTCCAATCCGTCTTACTTTATCAAATCCATTCCTTCCACTCCAACCTAGTATCTTATCTTATCCAACCCATCTTATCCCATCCAATCCAATCCACCCAACCCAATCCATCAATCCGTTTTTGTCGGCGCCTGGCCGAGAAACAGAGAAAGAGAGAGAGAGAGAGAGATATGACATCAAGGTGAGAGAGAGAGAGATGTAATCAAGGTCGTATAGGTATATACCTATACGACCGCCCTGCGGGCGATAAGGAGGTTGGAGGGGATAGAGATCAAATGCCCACCCTGACTGACCTCCAGCCTGTCAACTTGATATCATATCTCTCTGTCTTTCTGTTCCCGGAAAGGGCCTGGGCCCAGGGTTCTCTTTTAGTAGGTTTACCCCCCGGTTTTTACTTGAAGGGGGCCGGCGAATTTCTTGTGCGATGAATTACGAGGTCGAAGGGGGCCGGCGAATTAAAACTGTGAGGACGAAGGCAATTTTTCGCCACCCCTCACGCAGATCGTGCTCTTGGAATTTTACTGCCTTTAAGGAAACCTCGATATTTCACAGGTGAAGTCCACTTTTTTCCGACATCGACTTTAAATGATAAAAAAACTAGGTAAACGCGTTCGCTCGATAAATGACTAGGTACCGCGGCCTCCAGAACGGCGCTGGGAACGGAGTTTTGGATTCTTGAAGTTGCATAAGTTTGGAAATAGCAGAAATCCCATGCGTTTTTGGACCCTGACCCTGCGGATCTGCGTGAGGGGTGGCACCGAATTTCAGAAATGTGGCAAATCCCCTATGTTTTTGGACCCTGACCCCGCGGATCTGCGTGAGGGGTGGCACCGAATTTCAGACATGTGGCAAATCCCTTGTGTTTTCGGATCCTGACCCCGCCGACCTGCGTGAGGGGTGGCACCGAATTTCAGAAATGTAGCAAATCCCACGTGTTTTTGGACCCTGACCCCGCGGATCTGCGTGAGGGGTGGCACGGAATTCCAGAAATGTAGCAAATCCCATGTGTTTTCGAATCCTGACCCCGCCGACCTGCGTGAGGGGTGGCACCGAATTTCAGAAATGTAGCAAATCCCCTGTGTTTTCGGATCCTGACCCCGCCGACCTGCGTGAGGGGTGGCACCGAATTTCAGAAATGTAGCAAGTCCCATGTGTTTTCGGACCTTGACTTCGCCCAGGAGGCTCCAGGAGAGCCCAGGAGAGCCCAGGAGGGCCCAGGAGAGCCCAGGAGGGCCCAGGAGGACCCAGGAGGCTCCAAGAGGCACCAGGGGGCCCAAGGAGGGCCCAGGAGAAGCTCCAGGAGGCTCCAGGAGAGCCCAGGAGGGCCCAAGAGGTCCAAGGAACACCCAGGAGGGCCCAGGAGCCCTTACGAGGGATCGTGGCCCTGGGAGCGCTGACGTAGCGTAATTTACGAGGGATCGTGGCCCTGGGAGCGCGGGTGTAGTGTAATGTCCATAATTTGTTGACGATGTCCCGAGCGAAACGCTGGTTTTGCAAAATTGGGGGATGTCTCGAGCGGGGGCCTCGTGGGGGGGCAGACTTCAGAGGATGTCTCGCGCGTGCCGCGTCCCGCGCGCAGGAATTCTGAGGATTTTGACAGGATGTTTCGAGCGAAACGATTGCCCCCAGCACGTTCCGTAGCGCGTCCCTTTGGCACGTCCCGCGGTGCGTCCCCATGGCGCATCCCTTGGCACGTCGCTTGGCCCCTCCCTTGAAACGTTCCGCGTCGCGTCCTCCTGGCATGTCCCCCTGTCAATTAGCTCTGGGGCAGCTACTATGTGTTCAGACAGCTCGAGCTTAAGATCCAAATCAGTTCGGTCAGGACTCGGATGTAATGGAGGACTCGATCCACAACGCTATAGAGCACAATTGTCACGTGGCACATCGCAGTTCAGCACGGCGCAACACATCACACATTTCGGCACGGTACATCAAGATCGATACCTTCAGCATTGCAACTTGGCACGTTCTTTGGCACGTTCCGTGGCGCGTCCCTTGGCGAGTCCCCCTGGCACGTCGCGTGGCACGTCACCTGGCACATCCCGTGGCACATCCATTGGCACGTTCCGTAGCGCGTCCCCTTGGCACGTCCTGCGGTGCGACCCCATGGCACGTCCCCTGGCACCTCGCCTGGCGCATCCCTTGGGACGTTTCGCGTCGCGTCCTCCTGGCATATTCCCCTGTCCATTAACTCTAGAGCAGCTACTATGTGTTCAGGCAGCTCGCGCTTAAGATCCAGATCAATTCAATCAGAACTCGGATGCAAAGAAGGACTCGATCCACGGCGCTATAGAGCACAATCGCGCCATGGCACATCGCAATTCAGCACGGCGCAGCACAGCACAGCCCTCGGCAGGGTACATCAAGATCGATACCTTCAGCATTGCACGTGCCCGTCACCCAATCAGGTGTCTTTGAAAACGCTGCCATGTGTTACAGTTCTATATTCCTTTCCGGGTTCGTGGGTCGATCATGTCATAATTTGTTGAGGATGTCTCGAGCGAAACGTTGGTTTTGCAACATTTGGGGATGCCTCGAGCGGGGGCTGTGTGGGGGGCCAGAATTCAGAGGATGTCTCAGGCGAAATGCTTGTTTTCGTGTCCCGCTCGCAGGAATTCCAAGGATGTCTCGCGCGTGCCACGTCCCGCGCGCAGGAATTTTGTGGATGTCCCGTAGCGCGTCCCCTTGGCACGTCCTACGGTGCGACCCCATGGCACGTCCCTTGGCACGTTGCCTGGCGCGTCCCTTGGGACGTTTCGCGGCGCGTCCTCCTGGCATGTCCCCCTGTCAATTAGCTCTGGGGCAGCTAGTATGTGTTCAGGCAGCTCGAGCTTCAGATCCAGATCAGTTCGGTCAGGACTCGGAAACAAAGGAAGACTGGATCCACGACGCTATAGAGCACAACCACGGCATGGCACATCGCAATTCAGCACGGCGCAGCACAGCACAGCCCTCGGCACGGTACATCAAGATCGATACAATCAGCATTGCACGTGCCCGTCACCCAATCAGGTGTCTTTGAAAACGCTGCCATGTGTTACAGTTCTATATTCCTTTCCGGGTTCGTGGGTCGATCATGTTTTTTTTTTTCTCTCTCTCTCTCTCTC